TCTCTGGGGCTGGGGGTGGTAGCACTTGCAGACTCGATTGAGAAGGCCATTGGTGAAATGCCTATGATTTTAAACTGATGGAAGATAGAGGTATGGGTGTGTGTGGGAAACAAGCAGGTTGCAACACTTGGGTTGGAAACAGTAAATGTATAAAAGGCATTCAGCATGAAGTTATAAATAAAGACAATAGATCAGGTCAGCAAACAAAGGGGGACAGCAGAGGGCAGCAAGGGACTAGCTCCCTTAAGGTTTACTATACTAATAGCAGGAGTGTAAGAAATAAGATAGATGAGCTAAGATTAATTGCAAGTGCAGGAGACATAGATATTATTGTTTATAACAAGACCTGGCTCAATCTGAAAGATAGAGAGATCCCCTCTGAATGTCACATACAAGGCTATAAATTATTCCACACTGACAGGGTCAACAGGAAAGGTGGTGGAGTAGCGATGTATGTCAGAGACAATTTAAATTGTTGTGTTAGACAAGATATTAAATTAGAAGCGTCAGCCACTGAATCTGTTTGGTTACAGCTTCTCGAGGGCCGAGAAAAACAAATTTTGGGGTTTGTGATTTACGGGGCCCCCCAAATCTTGATAGGGGTGCAGTAAACTTCTATGGGACGAAATTCGTAAGGCATTCTACATACGAAAATGTTGTGCTAATGGGAGATTTCAACTATAGACAGATTGACTGGAGCAATTTTTACAGGAAATTTAGAGTCAGGTGACTTTCTTGATACGATCCAGGATTGTTTTTTAAAACAGTTTGTGACAGAGCCAACTAGGGGAAATAACCTCCTTGACTTGGTTCTTGCCAGTAGGGAAACACTAATTAATAATCTTGAGGTTAATGATGAGCTTGGGGAAAGTGATCACAAATCACTCAGTTTTAAAATTATCATGGAATTCCCCTAATAATGGCAATCAAGTCTCCGTCCCTGACTTTCGCTTGGCTGATTTCATAGGACTGAAAAATTACTTAGGTGGGCTGAACTGGAATGACCTGACTAAGGGTCAGGTAGGTGGTGATGGTTGCCGATATGATGCTTTCCAGGGCTAGTTCTAGCTGCTCAGTCAAATTATGTTCCAAATAGGGAAATCAGATCAAACAAAAATGATCCTAAATGGATGAACAATAGATTAAATATTGATTGGTCAAAGAGAGGCATATATAGGCAAATCAAAAGAGGAGAGGGGCAATTGAGAAATCGTTTATATTCAGTTAAAGAGAGAAATAAAAAAGGGAATTAGAAAAGCAAAAGAGATTATGAGGTTAAAGTTGCAAGAGAACCCGAAGACTAACCCAAAAGGATTCTTTCAGGTATACAGAAGTAAGATCAGGGACAGATAGGCCACTCAAATTTCCTCGGGTCAGCTCATGACAGTGATAAGGAAATGTGTAGAATTTTTAACACATACTTCCTCTCAGTTTTTACACAGGAGGATACCAGCGATATTCCAGTAATGATAAATTATGTAGAACAGGACGATAATTAAACTGTGTACTATTAGGGTCACAAGTGACATGGTCCTTAGCAAATAGATAAATTAAAACCTAACAAATCCCCAGGCCCTGTTAACTGTATGCAAGGGTTCTAAAGGAATGTAAAGAGGAGCTTAGCACACCTTTGGTAATCTTTTCAACATATCACTACAACTGGCATGGTGCCAGATAAGTGGAAAATGGCAAATGTGTACCTATTTCAAAAAGGTGACGGGTTTCCTTAGCTTCGAACTATAGACCAATAAGCCTAACCTCCATGTGGGAAAATTTATGGAATCATAATTGCCGAGGCAGTTTGTAGCCACCTTGAAAAGCATAAATTAATCAACGAATTCAGCATGGTTTTACAAAGGGGCGTTTTCCCGCCTTACGAATTTATTAACTTTTTTCACTAAGGTATTTGAGGAGGTGATCATGGTAATGAATATGATATTGTGTATATGGACTTCAGTAAGGCTTTTGACAGGGTCCCACATCAGAGACTATTGAGGAAAATTAAAGCACATGGAATAGGAGGAGAAATTTTTTCCTGGATAGAGGCATGGTTGACAAATAGGCAGCAGAGAGTTTGCATAAATGGGGAGAAATCAGAGTGGGGAAGTGTCACGAGCGGTGTTCCACAGGGGTCAGTGTTGGGCCCCCTGCTGTTCACAATCTACATAAACGACATAGATGAGGGCATAAAGAGCGACATCGGCAAGTTGCCGATGACACCCAAAAAAGGCGTCGAATTCATTTGACGAGGACATTCGAGCACTCCAGGAAAATTTGAATAGACTGATGCAGTGGTCGGAGAAGTGGCAGATGCAGTTTAATATAGACAAATGCAAAGTTCTAAATGTTGGACAGGACAATAATCATGCCACATATAAACTAAATAAAGTAGATCTTAAAATTAGGATTGCGAAAAAGATTTAGGAGTTCTGGTTAGCAGTAATCTGAAACCAAGACAACAGTGCATAAGTGTTCGCAAAAAGCTAAAAGAATCTTGGCTTCAAAATCAAGAAGCATAAATAATAGGAGTCCTCAGGTTGTTCTTCAACTCTATACATCCTTGGTTAGGCCTCATTTAGATTATGCTGCACAGTTTTGGTCCCTTATTACAGAATGGATATAAATTCTCTGGAAATGTAAAAAAGGAGGGATGACAAAGTTGACCCCAATGTATCAGAAAACCTTCCTATGAGGATAGACTAAGGGCCCTGAATCTGCACTCTCTAGAAAGACGTAGAATTAGGGGGGGGATATGATTGAGGTGTATAAATGGAAGACAGGAATAAATAAAGGGGATGTAAATAGGTGCTGAAAATTTTTCTAGCTTGGAAGGACTCGCAGAATGGTTTAAGTTGGAAAAATTCAGATTCAGGAAGGATATAGGAAAGTACTGGTTTTGGTAATAGAGTTGTGGATGATTGGAACAAACTCCCAAGTACCGTTTATAGAGGCCAGAACGTTGTGTAGCTTTAAAAATAGGTTGGATAAATACATGAGTGGATGTGGGTGGGTGTGAGTTAGACCTGATAGTTGTGCTACCAGGTCGGTTGCCGTTTTTCCTCCTTAAGTCAAATGTGACCTGACCTGACTAGGTTGGGTTGCATTGGCTTAAGCCGGTAGGAGACTTGGACCTGCCTCGCATGGGCCAGTAGGCCTTCTGCAGTGTTCCTTCGTTCTTATGTTCTTAAACCTACAAAGGCCATACCCGTCAAACAGCTGGTGGTACCGGAGGCGCCTGTGCTAACAATAAGCTACCAGCTGAATGCTCGCATCACTAACGCCGCTTCGTACTCATGCATATAAACAATGTCGTTCAGCATGGCGTAACTGTTGTTGTCCATCCACACTTGCAACCTTCTAGCTAAGACAACGCGGTTCAAGCTCTTCTCTCATGATTGATCAAGCTCTATGCAGAGCGAAACTTAATCCTATTTCAAGCTTGCTCTACAATGTGTGCCTTACAAACCATACCACGGGTGGGGTTAGAACCCACGATCAGAGTCGCAAAACTCTAGACCGACGCATTAGGTTAGGTTAGTCTTTGAGGGGACTTGAGCTAGAGTTCGTCACGGCCACGCTGGCGGGAGATTCGTCTGTAAAAACTTGCATTTGTGGTCACAGTGGTGCCTATGCTAACCTTCCTATGGTGTAGAAATATACCTAGTTGGATGAATCTTATTGTAGATAGCTGGTTCAGTGGCTAACGCGACGGTCTGGAGTTTTGTGACTCTCTGACCGCGAGTTCTAACCCCACCCGAGGTATGGTTTGTTTGCAGTCGTGTCATTACGATTTCGTGAGTCATGTGTGCCTTTTCTTCCCTTCGAAGGCAGTGCGACTTTTGGGTCTTTTCCACAAAGACTTTTTCTGTATTTTTTTTTTAAACTAATATTTGCATAACAAATTCGTCCCATCCAGAACGGGACAAACCTTCTTGAAAAATCTCAGTTTTCCCCTTATGAATTCTAAGTGTGATTTTTGTTTCAATAGCATTGGTAAATCACCATTAATAAATATTTATAATCCATTAGATTAAAATACGAGCCAAGAAGTGAGTGAAATCCTTAAGAGGATCAGAAGGTTAGTCTTGCAATATCGGCATATTAATTACGGTGATTATTGCATAATTATTCTAGGGTAGACTGGGTATATATACCCTTTACCGTGACTGAGCACACACTAACCCACAGTGAGCACCAGAGACATGAAGACGTTTGTAAGTCGCCTTTATTTCTATAATTATCTACACGTAATATACTACCTGATGGACTCTTAAAAAGTTTACACATCGATGTAATAGTTAATTAGGTATCATCGAAAAGGAATTGGGCAAATATTTTTGTTAGTGGGCATGGGTTCGACAAAGCTCCTGGAGAACGAAACGTTGCCACAATAAAAATGTCACAGTAGTTGCACTTGTGTCCTTTTACTTTACATATTGTCGGTAATTCTACCAACTTTATTACAAGGACTTGCCTAGTATGGGCCAGTAGACCTGCTGCAGTGTTCCTCCATTATGTTTATGTAATAGTTAAGGAAAAGCGACGAATATGTCCCTTTGTCGGAGGCAGGAACAAGGCGTATTGTTCGACACTTTACAAAACAAGATGTTATCGGGACAATGTGAATTATGTTGATAGTGGTTGAACATATTCATGAGCATATTCCACGTAGGTCTACCATGTTTTGGATAAGCACATTTGAGAACAACCGAGTTTACCATAGAAAAGATTGAGAGAGAAAAGCAACAGAATGAACATATAGCCTTCACTGTTTCGCCTTCTTTTGTTTATGAATGATGGGAGATGACCTTGTCTGATGCACACCAGTCTTGCGATTTCTTGCGAGATGCTTTATTAACTATCAAATAAAGAAATGATGACATGACAACAATAAGGATATTGGTTTCACAATAGAACTGCCAGCACGACAAACCTCACTTGACTGACGACATGAGATAGTCGGGGTAACTTCGTATTTAGAAAGGCCAAAGGAAACAAAAATGATTTTGTCTTCACCCAGCAAGGGGATCTCAAATCATAATTATTGTGAAACCCCTCATATATCCTCTGTTGTATGTATATACGTCAGGGCCAGGGCTAAAAATACATTTATCCATATTTTATACTGTTTCAGACGGATTTTCCTTCCGCAGGTGGCTCTGGCTCTGGTGAGCGTCGTCTGCGCTGCTCCCAGTTACCTGTTACCTTACTCAGGTGGACTAGTAGGGGTGCCTGCGCCTCAGGTCCCCGCCACTGCACAAGTTAAGCTAGGCCAGTTCAACCCTGGTTTTGCTCACCCTGGACAAGCCTTCGGTAATGTGGCCAGCGTTTACACCAACAAGCCCCATTACTTTGTATACACGACAGGCGTGAACGGTAACACTCTTCCTGTTTTGCCTGTTGCCTTTGCACCCGTTTATCCAGAGCCAGCTTCGAATGCTACTGAGGTTCCTATCGAAGTTCCAGTTAGTGATAGCGTCACCCCAGGAGCAATCACTGATCCTATTAAGAATGCTACAGAGGTACTACCCAAAACCGCTCCGGTTGTTCCTGCCAAGCCAAAGGTGGGTACTCCAGCTGTTCCTCCTATACCAGTGATGGACACTCCCGAGGTTGCTAAAGCGAAAGCAGATTTCAAGGCTGCCTACGACGCTGCTGCCGCTGCTGCAGAGGCGGCCCCCGAAAACGACTTGGATGGTTCACTTACTACATATTCCGGTTATCTGTCTGCTGTAGATGGAGCTCTCTCCACGGTCTACACCAACGCCTTCCCATACAGAGCTTTCGGCAGTGTTCCTGCAGTGTTCGCCCCTAGCCCTGTAGTCGCCCATGGCCCTATAGTCGCCCCTGGCCCTGTGGTCGCCCACGGCCCTGTAGTCGCCCATGGCCCTAGAGTCGCCCCTGGCCCTGTAATCGCCCATGGCCCTATAGTCGCCCCTGGCCCTGTGGTCGCCCACGGCCCTGTAGTTGCCCATGGTCCTGTAGTAGCCACAAGCACCTCTGGCCCTGTAACCACTCCTAGCCCTGTAACCACCCCTGTCCCAGTAACCACCCCAAGCCCTGTAACCACCCCAGGCCCTAAAACAACCCCAGGCCCTGTAACCACCCCAGGCCCTGTGGCAGCCGTACGCAAAGCAGCCACCCCTATCCCCATTGTGACCCATGGCCCAGTAACCACCCCAAGCACTGTAACCACCCCAGGCCCTGTAACCACCCCAGGCCCTGTAGCTACTCCTGGCCTTGTATCCACCCCTGGCCCTGTAGCCGCCAAAACCCTGTAGTCGCCCCTTATCTTGTAACCTCCCGTGGCTTTGTAGCCATCCATGGCCCTGTAATAGCCCCTGACCCTGCAACTGATTTACAAACATTATATAAAACTCTGATTTTCTCTATTTCGTTGTGGGAATACCCTGCTGTGAGAATACTTCATTGTGAGAATATTCCATTTTGTAAAAGTGCAATAAAGCATTAAGCAATTTTAAACTGCTTACTGTTCCTTAGCTCTCTATTATACAGGAGTCTAAAAGAATGATTGTCTATAAATTGTCTATAATGGCCTACACTGCCCATAAGATGAGGAGGTAGACACATGTGCGACACCTGAGTATCTTTGAAGACGCTTCGCCCATTAGTGTCTTTTCCAGTTCAGTGCAGAGATGATATAAGCGGACAGTGGAAGATGAGATGACCTGTCCTTCAGCCTAGAGGAACATGTGTCTAATTCCCCACAAATTGCTACTTTGATTTTTATGGTAAGAAGCATTATTTATCATTTTAAACTATTTTATCCTATGTTATCCTTTTCCTTAATAAATTAATTTCTTGAGTGAATATATCCAAATACATTTAGGTTTGAAATAACTTACATGGTTCATAATAGCAACAAATATTATCAAAAATTGCTTCCGAAGAGAAAAAGTTTAGGTTCTTCCTACTATGGGTGAGAATTTAGACCAGGAACATTGTCAACGAAGATAAAATAAAGAATGTGAGTTTTAGGAGTGTTCATTACGTAACAGAGATTCCCAAATGTTGGAAAAGTGTTTCATTCTTCAATTTGTCGGTTTTTAAACATTTACGTCATAGGAAAAATAAGGAAAGCTTATTTTTTTTTAGGTGGTCTGGTCGGCTATTGAGGTCAGTGATGGAAAGTCACAGAGTTCCAACTGCGGTAATAATTTTAAGTTATTCCAAGATGGCCGCCGTCCACTTGTCCACCAAATATTTTACCCTGTCTCTGTTATTACATCGAATATAAAGGTCTTCTTGGTGTCTAAGCAGAAGGCTTCGGTCAGATGACCAGAAGCTCCAACGGTGGGTCATCATCTGACTAAGGCCCGCGTCAGGAAATACTTGTCCTGTTTCCTGACGAACCTTAATAATGGCCAGAGCTTGCTACCACCCACCTGCAGCTCACAAGACTGCCATTCCCAGGAGCCTCCCTGGGACTTTTGGGAATGGGAGCCCTCACGGGGCTCCTTACGAGCCCGTGAGGGCGATGAATGGGGCTAGACTGGGACAATTGGTCCCAGAAGATGAGGAGGGACTTGTACCTCCTCTCATGGCAGACATAGGTCTCAGACACTCCCAAGACAGGGAGCCAAGACCGGGTTACCATCTGGGAAAGACCCGGGCCGGGAGAGTACTGGCGTATCAAGAAGACGACGAACCTTACTTAGCCTAAACTAAGCTCATTTTTTTTTTTTTTTTTTGAGCACGAGGAATTTAGTAAAATCTTCAGAAATACAGTAAGATGTATCCTTATGATCATAAATCCAATAAGAATTTATGTTCATAAGGAAGTAGAATTTGGCCATATTTGACTATTACTGCAGTTCAGATGCTGAATACAGAATATATGGCCACTTTTGGAAAAAAACAGTGAATTCTATTAATCCACCACAGAAACAGCAGTACGAGCCTTCACTAACATCAACCCAAACTGTTCTAAATTTCATGTATGAAGGCAAATCAGCGCACCAATCCTTAAATATTGACCGTACAACGTGTTTTTAGGCTCATTAAATATGCAAGACAGAAATTCAAGACGATATTTTAAAGTCACAAAACAGAAGGGCAGATAGTAAACCGGAATACAATAATGATACTCTTAAAGTAAAGATATTTGATTTTAACACTTTATTGCTCCATATATTGCATGGTTGCTACATTCTACATACACCACATAAAGCACAGAGTAATCTGTAGCACTGAGATAAAGATATAAAACATCAGTCATAAAACAGTGATATTCTGATAATGTTTAACAAAAAATCCTTCTAGGAAAGGTTAAAGTTTTGAGGTTAAAGTCTTGCAGCTGTGTTTCCAGATGGAAGGTTCAAAGCTCTTCATTTAAATCCGCTGGAAGATTTTGTGTTAAGTGCATGTTTGCCAGACACATTATGGGTACATAGGTGTGCAAAATAAACTTGCTATGTAAAACTTGCATCTTCTAGCAAAACCACTTGTGTACCAGCAACTGACGTTATGTAATATCCGGCCAGGTGCTACAACACCTTCGCTCTTAACTGGACACAGCACATCATTCCAAGGCTGCCAGCTCCAGTCTCTTGCACTCGCTTCTTCGTTGCCAGACTACTGCTGCGTGAGGTACAGCAGGCTCTGTTGGATGGTTTTTGGTTGCAGAAGGTGGAAGAAGTTCAATCTAAAACTGAGAATATATCATTTCCTGGAGAATAAAACTTTTCTTATGACTTTCTCTTAAGGGGTGGGTGAGTTTCCCCTGTTTGCTAATAACATGTTCATCTTTCCACTATAATCTACCTTGTCCATAATTACCGTCACATTTGCTTTGTCTGCTTTCGTAAGGTGAAGTCTAGGATCTTTCCTTAATTCATGGTATGACTTAACAAATGTTTGAGGACAATTCGGTTCCACAGGTCTGAGCTTTCCTGTAGGTTAGGTTAGGTAAGGTTTGTCAGGAAACAGGACAAGTGTTTCCTGACGCGGGTCTTAAGCATATGATGACCCACAGCTGGAGCATTCGGTCATCTGACCGAGGCCTTTCGCTGGCTTACCGGTCCACCCCTTTAAAAAATATGGGTATGAGTATAGCCATAGGGGTGTAGGGGGATAAACTGTATGAGTAACACAGGATATACACACCGTGAGGTGTATGTTTCTCATTGTATACATACACACTCAAGAGTTTACTTTAATCTCTACTTAAGGAATTAAGTCTTGACTGGTCGTGAACAAGTTTCATGCAGCCTTAATGACCTCTCGTGTAATAGGCTTTAAAACCCCATTAAATAAGGTTGTGTGGAAGAAAATGACTAGCGAGCACAAAATTTCCGTGCTTTTCGTCCCTGCTTCTCCTGTGGGAGGGTGGGTCAAGTGGAGTGGTTTATCGTGGACTGGGCTCTCCATTAGGTACGATTTGTCAGGAAACAGGACGAGCGTTTCCTGACGCGGGTCTTAGTTACATGATGACCCCCAGTTCGGTCATTTGACAGAGGCCTTCCGCTAGCTTACCCCTCCACCTCTTTAAAAATTAAGGTTATAATTATATCCATTTGTAACTGGGCGCTTCATCGTTCTTCCCTTCTGTATGTATCCCCGTACTGCATGACCCCAATTCATCAATGAACGCGAGAAGGATTAACGCAGTGCGCGGGGTGAGTTTCTAATGGTGTTAAATATTAAGTGTTGAAAATTTGAATTATTAAACCACATTAAATAGTTAAATCTACACCTATACACTCGAATATCACTCTCCGCGTCATCGAATTAAGAAGTATCTTTTTTTTTTTTTTTTTTTTTTTTTTTGACCATTTAAGCCGCCACTAAGGGTTTTGGAAGTCAACCCAGCCATTCCAGGATGCTGTTCCCATCATCCTGGGTTCACCAACTTCACTCATAGGGAACCTGGATAAGCCAATTATTCAAAGAATTTGATCCACGTTACCGTACACATGTAATAAAAATCCGAAGGCGATAGGATGAAGCTTCAGAGAGTTCTGAACGAAAAAAAAAAACGAAAAGTTGAAGAAGAAAGGGGTAAAAAATTCAGGCAAGGACTTTAAGTTCGTCCCTCTCCAGGGGTACCTAATTAGACGAGGGAGGTAAACGAAGTAAGTTACGTGAAGGTGTGATTAATAACATCGGTCGTTAGAATATTAAGTGAGGGAGCTCTTCAGAATGCATGGGACAGAGACGACCTCAATTTCAACTCAACCCTTCCTGCAAGACTTGCTACCGTCAATGCCAACCCTCCACCCCGTGTTACTGTCTCCCCACCTGGTCTACCATGATGTACCTTCACCCCGTGCTGTCTACTCTCCACCTGACCCACCATGTCACTATTTTGCCCACTTTCCACACTTATGCTACTCTATGCTACCTATTACTAGTCAGTCTCTGCTGCGTACTACCAGCTTACTAGCCTTCCCCACCCATCCTGACATCCTCTGTCATTCCTACCTGCGGTATGAACCACACCCTGCTACAAAGGTCACTTTTTATCGTCTTGCCATACATTCCTGGACTGTTTTACTCTCTCAGAAAATTACCAATATCAGATTACTCTAACTTAGTGGTAAACGTTTACAGCAGCGAGATAAAACGAGAGAGACTAAATTTCGCATCAGGTTTTGAGAGAAAAAATCTATGTATTCTATGGTTTAATTACGAGAGGTGGCACCTCAGAGTGCCAGACAGAAAGGGGTATATAAGACACTGACCAGGATATGAGGATGCACTCACACCTAGGACTGGCATCATGAAGGCATTCGTAAGTTTAGTATGTTCAACTCAGAGGGAACAGTGAGACCTCATATGTATTCTGGTGAACATATCCTTCCTTGATGAATGTGTACCGAGAGTAACAGTGCATGTACACATGGAGGGGATATATATCTTGATATATATATACACTTAAAGTTTACTTTGATCTCACAGGCCCATACTTGGGATTAAAGTATTCTTAACTAGTGGTAAGCAGGTGACGTAGATTCAATGATTCTCGTGTCTCGATAGACTTTGCAACTAATTAACAAGGATAAGAATGGTACACAAATAACCCGTATATAGGAGAAAGGAGCTTACGACGACGTTTCGGTCCGACTTGGTCCTATGTGCCGGTTATTTGTGCATTGCTCCAGTTCTTTTCTATGTGAATGGTGATTTACACAGTGTGAGAGATTTGCTGTAACTGGACATTTATTAAGATGTTTCTCCCACCGGATGCTTCATCTCCTTAATATATATCCTAATACCACATAAATGTTATTCCTTCTGATTTTCTGTCAAATGTATGTGTGATCTCTTATTAATGACTGATATTTCTGTCGCATGTCATTGTCATTTATTATTAATTATAATTATTATTAGTAGCATTAATGACAATAATATATTCATGGTGGCTGGCTTAAAAACGGGACATCACCAGCACTGTCCGTTCTCGGAAGCATTTGTCAACCACCAGCATTTATCAACCACCAGCATTTATCAACCACCAGCATTTATCAACCACCAGCATTTATCAACCACCAGCATTTATCAACCACCAGCATTTATCAATCACCAGCATTTATCAACCACCAGCATTTTCGCTCTTGTAACCACGAATAATTACACAGCGCCTGGGGAACAGAAGGCAACCCTCCCCTCCCCCTCTAAAGCAGCGTAACATATATCTCCACCTCGAGCAAATATTATATATATATTTAAGGAGGTTCATTATTATTATTAACCTGTAAGGCTCATACAGCTTCTGGGGAATGGGAGGTAATGAGGTT